GGGAGCTCCATGCACAGCACAGCTCCAGCAGCACTGGGGTCCAGGGGCTGCTCAGAGGGGGCTGCAAGAGCAGGTGGGACCAGGAGATGCCATCTGTCCCAGACCTGCCCCCTCCACACAGCCGGGGGCCAGCAGGGGCACACCGGGGTGATGGAGAGGGCTCACCCCGCCAGAGTGGCTGCCAGAGAAAGGCCCTGGTGCAGCTGCAGGCAGAGCATCCCCACAGGGACAGGGGGGTGGCAGGGACAGGCTGCTGCAAGAGGGGAGAGCGCAGGGGGGAGCGAGGGGAAGCCTGTGCAGGAGGGCAGGGGCGTCTCGGGGGCCGCGTCCCCTCCATCCCCTCGCCCCGCGCTCACCCCTGGGGCGCTCCTTGGCTTTGGCGGGGGTTGAGGTAGGGAGCAGCTGGAAGGAGCCGGCGTCCATGTCATCCTCCTCCAGGTCATTGAGGCTGTACACCTCCTCCAGGTCGATGTCCAGCTGCCTGAAGTCTTTGGTGAGCACCCCAGGACGGGGCACCAGGATCCCGCCCAGGTTGGGCTGTGCCAGCTGCTGCCAGTGGTGGAGCGTCACAGAACCTGGGGATGGGACACAGACTTTGGGGCTCAGCTGGTGTCTCTGGACCATCATGGCACCTCCAGCTCTGCCACCCCCTCTGCCCCTCACCTTCCAGTGGCTTCACGATCTGCAGCTTGTCGGGCAGGTAGGTGAGGGAGCCGAGGGAAAAGGTGGAGCCGGCGGTGAGCTCCGAGCCCCCGGAGTGGCTGGTTCCCGTGGAGACGATGCTCTCGTTGGGGGTGAGGCCGCCGCTGGAGTTCGCCCCGTCCCTCAGGCGCCAGAGCTTGCGCTCCCGCTCGGCCTCGAAGAAGGAGCGCTCCTCGGAGGAGTGGCTCTGCTGCCGCGCCGACAGCCTCTGCACCGCTGCCTCCAGGTCCTGCCGGCCCGGGGCTGCCCGGGGGGCCCCGCCAGACCCCTCGGTCCTGCTGGCAGGCACAGTGTTGGGGTGCCCAGGGCCGCGGTTTCACACCGCACACCGCGGGGGGGCTGTGCTGGATCCTGCCCTCCCTGCCCCAGTGAACCCCTCTGGCACTCACCGGGCACCCTCCGAGCCGGAGCAGCTGATGTGGGGGGTGCTGGCCCCCCCAGAGTGGGCGGCTGACAACTGCTTGGAGCCTGGCACGTGGTGGGGAGACTCCGAGCAAGACCTGGCTTTGGCTGCCTGGTTCACCGCCTTCACCGTCTCGAAGACGCGCAGGTAACTCCTGCGGGCAGGGAGCGGGTGGGGGTGAGCCAGGCCCCCCCTTGAGACCCCCATCCCATGGCACAGCACGAGCCACCGGTGCCAGCGCTCACTTGTAGTCCGAGGAGGAGCTGTCAGTCCTCTTCCTCATCATGCCCTTGATCTCAGCCGCCAGAGAGTCCTGGATACAGGGTGGACACAGTGTCAGTCGAGAGGAGAGCGGCAACACCCACCCCCGCCGTCCCCCACCCCACACACTCACCACGGGCAGCAGACTGGCCGCGCTGTAGCGGCTCACGGTGCTGTTGGGCAGGCTGCGGCTCCGCAGGCTCTTCACCTCCTCCTGCGCTTCCTGCAGCATCCCACCGCACTCCGCGTACTTCTCCTGCAGGTCCCGCAGCTGCGGGGACACGGCACAGCTCGGGCACGGCCCTGGTGGCAGATGGCAGGATCCCCCGTCCCTGCCACCAGCTGGGACACCCACGGCCCTCACCTCCATCCGGAGCTGCTGCTGCACCTCCTTCGCTGCGGCCAGGTGCTGCTGGAGCTCCTCCACCTCGGAGCCGTACTGCGGGCAGGAGCGGGCACGTCAGGGCGCTGTGCCTGTGCCCCCTCCCACTCCCCCAGCACGGGCAGGGGACCCTCACCGTGCGGCACTTCTGCTGCAGGTCCGCCACCTGCGCCAGGAGCTGGGTGATCTCCTCCTGCTGCCGCGCCGCGTCCTCCGCCCGGTGCGCCAGCTCCTCCGACAGGTGAACGACCTGCTGGCTCGCTTCGGCTGCGGGAGGGCCGGGGTCTGTCACCGCCAGGGCATGGCCCCCCAGCCCCAGCCCACGCAGCAGCACTGGGTACTGCCTGCAGACCCCCCCCCCCAGCCCCACGTACAGAACTGCTCCACGCAGTCGATCATCAGCTGCTGCTCCTGGTCCTCGTACTGACAGGTCTCGGTGGCGATGCTGGTGGCCTGGAGGAGATGGTTGGAGGGGCTGAGTGTGATGGGCAGGACCTCCCACCTCCCTGGAGGGAAGCTTGGGTCCCCCTGCAGCGAACAGGGGCAGAGGCGGGCACCGAGGGGCATCCACCACCTGGCTCTGCTCACCTCCATGCGGAGCTTCTGGTTCTCCTCCTCCAGGCACTTCAGCTTCTGCTGCAAGGTGTCGTACTGGAAGTACTGCTGCAGGGACAGCGAGGACTCGTGCCGGCGCAGCCTGGGGACAGCAGGGATGGCACTGAGCACCCACACCGCGGGCAGGATGGGGCTGCCCACCCAGGCAAGAATCCGCAACAACTCAGCTCTGTGCTGATGGGGCCACAGCCACCGAGGGAGGTGAGGGGAGGGAGCACATCCAGTGCTACCCTGGTGGTGGTGATAGCTCCTGCCCAACCCACAGGAGCAGCAGTGAGGGACTCCCACTCACGGTGTGGAGGTGGTGGTGGTGGGCTCGCTCTCCTCTGTCGTGGTGGTGTAGAAGTGGAGAAGGTCATCCCGCATGGAGACCTCATGACGCAGCTGTGCAATCTGGAGAGACAAAGGGCATCAGGGCACGGCAGAGGGGACCACAGCCACCCCCAGGGGGGCACACAGGAGGCCAAGGCCTGGATCTGTGCCCAGGAGCTGTTACCTCCTCCTTGGCCAACTCCAGCTGCTCCTCCAGCAGCTCATTGCGCTCGGTCAGGCTCCGGTTCTGCTTCAGCAGGGACTGCCCGATGCGCGCCGCCAGCTCCAGGTCCCGCTC